GTCCGCGGCGGGGGGCGGGGGGGCGGGGGGCGGGGGGGGGGGGGGGGGGGGGGGGGGGAGTGGGTCCAAATTTCTACCCCTAAACACTTCAACACTCCTTTTAGATCGTGTTTCACAAAAAACAACATCCACTATTTATTCTATCAATTTGTATTTTATTCGTCAACATCGTACTATATTATTATTTTTTATTATAATTATTGTCGTTATTCTTCTATTCTCTATCTTGTTCTGCTTGTTCGTTTATCTGTTGGTATATCTTCATAGGAAGGTAGGGCTGTTGACTGATAATGGTTGGAGATGTAAAGTAGTAGGTGGTGATATATCAAGTTCACTACCACTCTGGTCTCTTATTTTTCTCTTCATATGTTCATTACTTCTCATTGTTTCTTTTCTCTGCCATCTTTGTATGTTATGCATCGATCTAAATGTATGTTACAGATCTTTGTTTATTCTCTGGATAAGGAAAAAACGAGAAAAAGATCGAAGACGTTGCTTAATATCTACTCCCAACTCTACATATGCAAAAATTCACTTAATTCAATACTAAATGCATATTGCTTCACTCATAAGGCAACCAAAACTTTTAAATTTTGCTTTTTTTGTAGTAACTTTTTGATATTAATATGATATTTGTTATAAATATCAAAAAGAAAAGACTGGGTGTGGGTATATTTCCTTTCCACACCCACCCACATCCAAACCCTGGACACAAAACTTCTTGTTCATCAAGCAGTGGTTTGGACGATCTATTATTACCATTATTTAATCGACTACTTTTAGCAAATGTAAAATCAGTGTTTTTTATCAAACCTGTATGAAGAAAAAGTCACTTATTTGTAGTTTATTTAATCCTCTTTTCATAATAGGATCTAAAGAGACAAAGCGCTAATTACAAATAAATCATGAAGAACAAAAGCAATTAAAGCGAAGCACAAACATAAAGTACAGAAAATAGAAATCAAGTACAACGGTTTTCACGTGTAAAATACAATAGAATTATACAAACATGGTGCTATGGAGGAAAAGCTCGAACATGAGGCTTATTCTTGAGAAACGAACACGTTGCCATTCAGCTCAGGAAAGAGAGAATTGTGCAATTGTTATGTTAATCGCAAACAAATGTCATGCAATAGTAGGAATGGTCGCCGTTTGTACTGTATTTTGATTGTAAGAAACTATACCAATCACATTCATTTGTCGTATGCTGATAATTTCCATTATTTTCTTCACTAATTCGGGAAGTGTACTGAGACATATTACTGGCAGCAAGAGTGGAATGAAATACGCAGCAAATTGCATTGCTTCCAGTTGGTCGGTCATAAATGAAGGTAGTATAGTAATTTGAATAAATAGTGTGATTGTAACAGGTAGCCAAAATCCCATATATAGTGATGAGACGATCCATAGTTGCAATACCATTTTACGATGACGTCGCCAATTGATTGCTTGTTGTCGAGACATTTTTTGATAGATTACTCGAATAACTAATGCCACATTTGAGAGTATAATGATCATAACGGGAAGGAAAAGATTGAAGATGAAATCAAATTGATTGAGAAATTTTTCTGCATAATAACATGGAAAACCGCAAAGAAATAAGTTAAAATCCCATAGAGTTGTACAAAGTGGACTAAGGACAACTAATATAAAAAACAATAGTGGTGCCCAAATTAAACAGAAAACAATGGGTATGAAGTGAAAAGTCCATTTTTTCCATCGTGTTTGAAGCATCGTATGGGAATGAAAAATGATTAAATGTCGTTCGATTGAGATCCATGCCATTAAAAATAATCCGATACCATTCAATGAGAATTCACACCATGTCCACCATACACAATATGTATTTGTTGGTGGCCAAATATAATTCATATAATAATAACTCATTGGCATCGGTAAATTAAGAATCAGTTGAAAGAAATTGACAAGAAGTAAAATAAGCCACCCATGATTTTTGAGTTTTGTACAAGCTTGACGATTCAGAGCGAAATAAACAAAGATAAAAATCGATAAAATGATTGCTGGAATTTCAACAGCGAGCATCAGAATAAATCTATTCCTACGATCCATCATTTACAAACAAAATAATAATTAAACAGACGTGTATATCACTAAATGCTCTTTATTTTTAAAGGACAAAAGAAATAAATGAAAAATGTTACGCCAATGTTCATCTTCGATCTATATATCAATATAATTATATGCCAATAGGATTTGTGAAATTTTAAAGAGTTAATCTCGGTATTTATTATACTAATAGCTATTCTATCAATTTAATCTCCGTAGAACCCGCAGGTCATTTTTGATTAAAAAAACAAAATATTTAATCTTGAATATAGATGACAATTTAGCTAAAATATTTCTGACAAGCAATACTTTTATTCTTGATGTTGATGAAAGAGTTGCACTGGCTTGTATATGTGGAAAGAGATTAAAAATAAAGCATTATAAAATCCTCATCATCTAAAAACTTAGGACAATCTAGCAATGGGTCGTACTGTTGCTGCAAATATCGGAATATTGTTCAGAATCAGAACGGTTAGATTGTTATTTCAATACTACCAGTAATCAGTAGATTAATATTGGTCGATAGTTCTCGATTGAAACAAACCAATGTATCGTTAATAGTAGTCGATTTCAGCTATTGTTCTTACAATACGCATCTCATTTGATGTTTATTGAAGACACGATCATAGAAAAAAACCAGCAATTCTACGAACATTTAACTGGGTTTAATGAATATAAATATCGATTGCTGCCAAGTTTCTTTTCTATACCCAAATAATCGATGCATTCGTACACCAATGAGCGTCAAATAAAAATAATCATTGAATTTGAACGCAAATAAAATTCCATTCGAGTTTTTGTTTCTCGATCTGTTAGAAAACTAACAGCAAAGCATTTTATCTATCCCATGTCCAATCGAATAGGTTGTATTTGTTCAATAAATATAGACATAAAACAGATATTAAGAAACAAAAAGTTAAGAATAACTAGCGCGAATATTAAAAAGGTTATGCTCGAGTGGCTGCTAGTTTACCAATTTGAGTTTGAAAACCTCGTTCCACACGAGCAATAGAGTAACATAAAAGACAATCATTACGTTGCAATACTGGCAAACGTTCTTATTGTCGTAATAATATATTCATTGAACGACAATTCTTACAAATAATATATTTCTCTATTTAAAAAAAGCAAACAAATCAGTCATATTCTAACAGAACATAATACTTACTGATATACCGTCGAAGAATAGTTTCAATTTGATTTTCTTGACGACAACCTTAAATATTCAATGCATGATTTTTATCGATCTATCCTCTGAATAAAAATCAAACAAAAGAAATGCAACAAATAGAAAACAAGTATTTCTTTACTTAGCACCCAATTCAACTAGTAGATATTGTTGCCAATGTTGTTCTTGTCGTTTGAGTCTAGAATTGAACATATTCATCGATTTGAAAGATGAAATAAAACGAATACATACCATGTACCAATTTCGCAAAAATTACAAAATATTGTTTGTCAAGTACCAGATCGAGCTAATTTTGGTGGTTTGAGACTATACTTTCGTTGATCATTATCAGGCAATGCATTTGGAATTTTCTTGCGAATCATATTGACTAGGGCTGTACCGCTCACGCTCATGAGTGTGAGCGTTTTCTGACTTAAAGAAAGTACGAGTGTCCCTGATAACTTTTTTCACTAGTCAAAATCAGATGTAGTGGTAGATTGAGAGGTGCTGGTTAAGAATATCACAATGAGAGCTCTCGAAATGTTTTTATTCCTGGAATAGTCCTAATCACTCTATGCACTGTATCCTTCATTATTTGGGTCCTTAAACAATATTTATTCACTTAAATTTAGCCAGAAACTCCTTTCTAACCCAAGATTTTCAGTTCTCTACGAATCTGAACTTGTTCCGCAGAAAAAAATGTAACTTTTTGAGAAGCCACCGTTATCATAACATGAAATTTAGACCATTAGAGTAATTTTTCAAGCTCTCGCGGTTGGTAACCCATGTGGTGAAAATCGCTTAAAAATCGGCGATTTCTCGCGATTTTCGTGAAAAATCGCGATTATTCAAATAGTATTTTCAATAATCGAATCTGTTCATAGAATTGGAATCTGGGACTATGACTACCCAGGAAAAAATTTATGAAAATCTGCGTTGAAACCCGTTCTTATTTCAGTTCGCATATTTTCGCTGGACTCTTAAACGTGGTCGTGAAGCTGCATGTAGTAACGCACTTTTTAGCAAAAAGCAGCACGCTACGATGTATCAAGCTTCTAAAAAGTTATTGTCAAGTTTATCATGATCTTGAACTTTTTTTTCACTATTTACATACATTTTCGTAAACCTGGTTCGTCTGTCAATGTATTTCCTGTCTTGCTAAAGGCGTTTCATGTATTTTTTTAATTACCATAGAGTAGATTCTACCAGAAGACCTTGTAGTTTCGAAGCAGAGCATATACCATTAGACCTTTCTTACGTATGCCTCGAATCGTGGAATTTTCTATTTCTATTAAACAAAATTTTTCGCTTCACCTTCACTAAAATTTAACTATGAGCAAAATTAGCTATATGATTCTTCTATTATTAAAAAACAAAGATAAATAATTTTTCATAATTTATGTAAAAAATGTAGTGAATTTATTATAAAAAATTAGATTGAATTTATATATAAAATAAACTGAATATATTATAATCTGTAATTTAAATAAGCCAATTTATAAAAGTTGTTTTTTCTTTAAATTTGGCTATTCAAAAATTACTCATTTTTTTTATGAATATAAAATAGTCAAAAAATGATTTATCTTATGATAAATATACGGGCATTCATAAGATAGCGCTAGAACTCTTTTGAATAACACTTCGATTAAACATGATAAAAAGCGCATTTCATCGCTCAAAAAAATATAGAATTACAATCGCTTTTTCGGATAGATCAAAATAATGTACACTATAAAGAAGCCGAAAAATAAATAATAAGGATTGTATATATTTTTTTTATTGGTTTAAATCCGCCTACCAGTAAATGTTCATTCTGAATTTTCACTTCACAATTTTGGTATGGAAATTATGGAAATATTTTGACAAAAAAAATCAAAAAACACTTTCAATCCCAATAAAATAATATTTTCTATTTATTTTTCTATTTACATAACTATCAAACTTGTTTTTGAAATATCGCGATTAATTGCTGATTCTTTTGGTATCGCCACTAATAACCAAAACTAACGCGATTTTGATGACATGGGAAATGGCTGAGCATTGCTATAATTTCTTAGCTTGAGTCCAAAAATTTTAAGTTAAATAAATCGCCAGTTTAATCGCGCTATATCAATAATATAAAACAATTACCAATCAATCGCGATTTTTCAGAATATTGACGATTAATCGCGAAAACTTAGGCGATTTTGACGACATGGGAATATTTTCTTTTAGATTTAAAAAAAACTTAGATTCCCATAGATTCGCCAGAGAGCATAACATCTATACTTTGCGTTTAACAACGAAATTAAACATTTACGTACACCTTTTATAGCCCAATTTCAATCATGACAAATTTTATTAATTTAGTTGATTCATAATTTAATTACGCTTTCCTCTTCAACATTGTTCTCGATTAAGCTGAAGCTTCAATTCATAGTTGTCACATACACAAATAAAAGAATCAAGAAGTGGTACAAATACAGTAAATAAACAATTCCTAGTTGTTCCAGTATTGTACCTAACTTTATATTTCAATATCTCTGTTTAGTTTTTCAAGATCATCTAATGAAAAAGTACAATATAAGCAGAACGTCCAATCACACTGTGTTTATATTCTATGTTAACAATCAAGAAATGTTGGAAAAAGAAAAACATGCAGTTTTGTTTTTGAAGCTTCTTGAAAATTATGATGGATATTTATAAAGTGTAGTGTTCGACAGTACTAAAAGGGAATTGATTTCTACTATTCATATATATATATATGACGATCCATAAGCAAGAGCAAATTATTGATTTGTTATATTTTTGAATCATCAATAGAGTTTGAAACGAAAAATTAACCAAAAGTATATGAGACTTCTCCAAAATTCTATCAAGTATCAATTCTTACTAAAAAGCTGTTAGCGCAATCCCTTGCGGGATTATAAATGTGAAACACGATGGATCTATTGCTACTAATTAAATAGAAATCCTTTTGCTCCATTTCATTACGACACATTTGTAGCTGAGCGTATATCTGATACTTTACAACTACACTTTCTCTGTCACGGTCTGTGATGGGTATGGATTTTCTCTATCACGGTCTGTAGGGGGGGTCCAAATCTCTACCCCTAAACACTTCAACACTCCTTTCAGATCGTGTTTCACAAAATGCTTACAACATACGCTATCTTTTGACATTAATTTGTAGGGTTTTAACCATGTTATTTTTTGACTCCCTATTTATTTTACATTTTCTTCAAGTTCTGAATATATTCTCAAGAAATGAAACCAAAAATATTTGAATTTTTTTTTTGAAAACTAACGACTATTGTGTATACTAACACTTACTATTCTCAAACATAGCTTGTTGTTCTCTGCAGTATTGATATTTAAATTAAAAATTTTATTCAATCATCTAAATAATAATCTAATCCACTCGTTCATAAAACCCATATCTATTGTTTTGTATTGCTCTCAAATACACAATTGTATTGGGTTCACAATACAAAGTATTATTTCTTTGAGTATTTTCATAACATCTTTTATATATATATAATCCCATCATGACCTATTCAGAAGAGTATTCTAATTGATAACTTAAATGATTTTTTTAAAGTGAAAGTTGTCTTAATGAACTGTTTCAAATTATGCACGATTGTTGCTCTATGGGAAGATAATAATAGAAGTAAATATTCATAAAAATTATATTTTACATTATTCCTTCGATTTCAGTAAGATTACAGAATAGAAACGCTCACATTGTTTCATGTATATACAATAGAATAAAACGTCTGATAATGCCACTCATAATCAATATATGGTAACGATCAGGATGCTTTGATTT